CAATCATTTTTAATAATATAAGTTTTGTCTGGCCGACTGGGAGAATGTTATGTTGACACTTCCAGTTCGAACCAGAATTTCCCCTTCTCTCTTTCTCTCTTTCTTCCACCTTTCTACCTCTTTCTACCTAACCGATCTCAGACAGATAGAATTCTAAGGCAGGCTGAGTCATAACATGTCTCATACAATAAAATGAAATATAGGGCTATCTTTCCACTTGGTACAAAATCTTTGTGTTCCTGTCAATACCACAACCGAGGATGACTAGTGATCAGGTGCATTGTTTATCTATATCTGAGATGAGAATGCATTAGCAAAGTGGAGCCACAGTGGTGTATTTTTTGTTTTATTTTAACTTCTTTTGTGTCCTGCTTTTGCCAATAAATTTATCTTAGGCTCTCTTTGTTTGCAATGCAAATCTGAACTGGATACAAATTTTTCACCCGATTCAGTTCTGCATTTTTTTTTTTGTAACCATGATTTGTATTCCTACCTGATACAAAATGTGTACTTTTGTCTCATTTGTACTCACTAACAGTGCAAATTTTGCATCCCAAAAAACCAATACAAATCAAACCACATTCCTCCTACATCAATTCTCTCTCATATAAAGTAGGGACCACATCATCTTGCTTCTTACCTTGCTCCAAACAAATAAACCTCCCATCTCTGTTCTCTTTCAAACAGTTTGGGACCACATCATTTTAATTCCTATTTTACTTCTCCCAAACAAATAAAACAAAACAAAGTCAAATATAAAGCAAAAGTAAACTAGAATTTACACTGTGCCTATTTGTACTCTCATTCATTTTTACCAATGCAAATGTGCAAACAAACTGAGCCTTAGTTACAGATAATAAAACCATGCTTAGAAATCAAAGAAGCAAGTTAAAGTACTATAAGATAGAAAACCCAACAAAACATAACAGGCAACCCATGCCTTGCAACGGACAACTCAAGAATCTAAAACCCATTCTTGATGGACAATTTTTTTGGCATTGGAGTTAGAAACTGCAGATGATTTATTCCTAAACTGCATAGCATAGAGAGCTTCCTTTTTCTCTCATGATAGTCTCTTCACATAGAGACAAAAAATATAGATCTGCATAGCATTTTGTTTGTGTTTTGCATTCTTTTGTATAGATTCCCACCACACATTGGGGACTACTAAGCCATACTGCAAATCCTCTGCTACACTTTTAATTTAATACAGGACTTACTATTTACTGAAGATCAACACCTTTTGGCAAATGGAAAATGACCCCCTCTGCCCAGCAAACAATCTAGCCTCTCTTATCAGTTAATGCATTGCCAATGTGTTGAGATGTTCACCCTGCTACAATGATCTAGCCTCTCTTATGTGATGTTGCAGCTGCCCAGCAAACAATCCGGAATCCATTTGAATCTCGTTTAATGTTTAATTGCTAATGCATCTTTTCTAATAGTCATCCCCTCACCAATCAGACCAGTGTAAACAATAAGAACCCTTCTAAATGCTACCCAAATCCATGATTGTCCAGGATTCCCCAAGGAACTGAAATCAAAATTTATCTTTGGGAAGAAGAAGACAAGGACCGATGCAATAGCTGTCTATAAAAAGAAAGTTTAGAAACATTAAACTAGTCTCTTATGTGATACTCGTGGTTATTATATGTCTATAATATTTGAACATGCATTAGTTTTATCTTTAAAATATTTGTTGAACAAACCTAATGATAGTATTTTCGATTCATCTAGGGTACAGCAGATGAAGTTGTTGATTTCTCCCATGGAAAGCAGCTTTGGGAGCTTTGCAAGGAAAAATATGAACCTCTTTGGCTTAATGGTGGTGGCCATTGCAATCTTGAACTTTATCCCGAGTACATTAAACACCTGAAGAAATTTGTGTTGACTATTGGTAAAAGGACAACAACAAATGGTCCTAAAAAAACAAGGACCGACTCAGGAGATCAGAGTAAACCAGTTGAAAGTGGAACTTCAGATGGATTTGAAGTAGGTTGTGACCATTCTGAAATCTCTAGAAACAGCTTAGATAGTCAACTTGTGAATTGTAAGAAGTCAAAAAAGCAAGAAAAATCACGGATGAGTGCTGACCGTGTTGACAGGTGTAGAAGAAAGAGCTTGATATGGTGATTGGCTACTATGTGCATCTCAAATAAATTATGAGCCTCAGCTCCATGAAAAGGTATTCATTGTTTTGTTTTCATATTCTGTTACAACGCACAAAACTCTTTCGAAATGATCAATTGAATCATAATTATGATTTTACATTTCAATAGCCATCAATTTGGTAAAATGATTGTCAAAGATCAGGATGGCAACTTCATTATGTATACATAACTATGTTACGTTTAGTATTTGTATTTATGTGAAGTTATAGATCATATCAGGTTACCTCTCCCTTTGGTCTGGCAGCAACTTCTAATCAGTAGTTGTCATGGGATAGGGATTTCAATGGGGGTAGGTTAATTAGGTGACCTGCCCCACGCTGCCCCTACTCTGTCGGGTTTAGTATACCTCTAGTTGGATTTGGCTTGTGCTCATGTTATGATAAATGTCATACTTAGATTGCCATTCCATGAATATTTCAAATTCTTCTAAATAGATTGCAAGTATTGTTGTCATTTTCTCTATTATATCATTTTATTCCTTGATTAAAACAGTATTGCCAGTTGTGCTAATAATAAAAATTATTTTATATTTAATATTTTCACATTATATCTCACTCTGCCTTCTCTGCTTCATGCCTTGACAAACCCTGGTCCACTCTATTCACAGGGGTGGGGCAGGTTTGAGTTGGGGATCAGTCAAGTGAGGCTGTATTCAGGCTTAGCCAAACCCAAACCAAATCTGACCCATTGATATCTCTATCAGAGAGGCACTGCTGATATTAGGAACAAAAAGTGAAGTTACCATCTGTCATATGATGCATCTTTTGATAAAACTTGGAAGTGAGGCCAAGTTTCACCGAACGAAAGCTACTGAACTTAAAAATGAAAGGAAAAAAAAATGCATCAAATGGGTGGTAGGTAAAAAACTCTAGTAGCATCTGAATTTGGAGCATCTGCTGGAGAGTGGGGTAATAATTCGGTCATTGCATTTGTTCTGTAATTACTGGGAGTAAGGATTTGGCACACAGTACCATAAGAATTTCACATACCTTCATGCTTGAAATGGTCATCACCTTTAAATTGTATCCCACTGCATTATGCATATCTTTATGGGCCTTCTCTTCTAGATCTTTGAACTTGCTAGATGCTGCACTGCTGTACTCCTTAAATAATGTTAAGAAAATTAAAGAAATAAAAGAAATAAAACCAGTATCCTTTTTGGTCGTGTCTTCCTCAATGAAGGCATTTATTTCAGAAACAATTCCTCATTCGTGTGGATTTTTGTAGTTGATCTCTTATATATGTTGACCTAGTAAATGGTAAGTAAATTTTTTGGTAATCAAATGGTAAGTAATTAGATCACATTTTTCAGCTAACGGGCTCTTGCATTAATCAGTAAGGGGCTTCTGCTGCTGGCAAGAAAAATTACTAAAAGCATGAGATCCCCTATTAAATGGTTCTTTGCTGGCCATAAAGCCGCAGTCTGGTTGAGAGAAGCTTTGGAAAGAAATTGCTGTCACATGGGAGGGCTATTGTTCTCAATTCTTCTACTTTCAAAGTGATCTTTAGTGACTGGTTGGTTGATCATGTGAAGGAGGATCCTCTTATGATCCATTCTTTATCTTACCTTAAACTTTGAATCAGATAATTTTGTGTAGAGGCAGAAGCTTGACTGAAATCTTGGAACAACTTTGGTTCCATTTGTGTGAATTATCTGTTTGAAGAAGATTTTCTGCTACTAGCTGCATATTGTTTCAATTCCATGTGTGCATAGTTCCGCAATGCTGTGACCAGACTTGGTGAACATACAGTTGCTAAGATTCCAAGTCTCTACAGACTACAGTCTGGCTTTGAGCAGAATCAGCTTTATTATCGTGGCGATTGGGCCCCTGGCACTTGATAGTCACTTATCTAAGGACCTCCTGGATCAAGGCTAATAGGCTCAAGAGCCACCAGGTCGACCATGCTCTATATAAAGAGAAAAGAACAGCTAATAGCTTCAGCAATCATTAATGAATATCATAAATTAAGATATTCACATTAGGAGCAACTAATTAAGATATTTAAATCTAAATGCCGTGGCTTCAACGATTCCTCAAATTGATATTTCGATCATTCAATGTGAAAGAGCCCTCCTTAAGTAAGTGGGTTCAGAAATTTTCTGCAAAAAAAAAAAAAAAGACTAGAATTGAAGTCATTGCTAAGCTCTGAGAAAGTAGGCAATGAATACCTCCAAATTTGTTGGGAAAAAGAAGCGCGGTGGAAAGGATGGGTCTCCTAATGGATTCCAGATGCATTTTTCTATTCAAGCGTGAATCGGGTTCTTATTCTTTTCGTTAGCTATTGTTTAGACTTTTGTGGTGGTTAACGTAGATATTTTGTTATATCCGCCTGATTTCTGTCTCTTACTTGTAAAGTTTATAGATGATTATCCCAAAGTATGCGTGTATTCAACGGTGCACTTTGTTTGCTTAGTTAATGCATGGCTGGCCGGGACCAATCCTGTTTACCAACCGTCCAAATAAGAAGAAAAGAGATTTAGATTAGAGACTTTGAGGCTTCAATTTTATGCCCTGTCTCAGTTGAAGTGGCTGAACTGAATGACTTGTTTTGTCTTTAGCGGATAAGTTAATTAAATTTTTAATTTTCAGCCATTAAGCAGCTCAGTTCACAACCCCATTAGCAACTTATTCATTGAATGACAACGTGCCTATCAAAAAAAAAAAAAAAAGAAAAGGGAAAAATAAACAATAACCTATTCAGTGCAGCGACTTCCCATGTGGCGAGATTGAGGTTCTGTATTATTAAGAGACTTTGGTTCAAGGGCCACCTACTCGGCTCTCTTGCCCAGTCTGTCCCACTGTTTGGAGTTGGCTTCCGTTGGGGCAATGCCTGCTCGAGCAGTCTTTACAGTTTTGCATTGGGAATATCTCCCTACTCATGGGCTTTATTTTATAGGGAGATATTCCCGATGCAAGGTTGCAAGAGGCTGTTGAGATGGTGTGAGCACGGGCTTGCCTTGACTGAAGCCGATCTCCACTGTTTGCCTCCTGATCTGAAGAGCTGAACAGTTTATAGAGAGCAGGGAGATCACATCTGCGCCCCACAAACACACTCCAGTCTTAGTTTGGGAACAGTATAAATACAATTACATAAATGCATATACAAGGTTTATAAATACAAAATACAAGATTTTATACTACATATTATTTTGTATATATTTGCACTTGCACTGTATAACTCAGTTCTAAAAGGCATTGAGGCTAGGTGGAGCCAAAATGTCTGGCCTCATGCACCTTTGACCTTCCCCTCTACTAAGAGGCCACTGTCTTTATTTTTGAGAGGCTTATGTCTCACTACCTTGCGCCTCAAATTCGTGATGCATAAGCCTCATATAAAAAGCATTAAAATTGAAAAAAAATATTATTAATTAGTTATAATACTTCTTAAGATTTAAAAAACATTTAATCGTTTAGTTGCTTACAAATAAAATAAACCAATCTATACTAAAAAAATCCCACAATACTTCATTTAAAACAAAAATGTCATTAGTTTCTCTTTTACTAAATGCACATATTAGAATAAGGTTTCTTTTTCCCAATCTAATTACAATGAACAAAAATTCCCTACTACAAACAAATTTAGGTTTAGGCCAGAGGCTCCGCCCTCAAATCCCCAATCAATTCTGCCCTAACACCTGGGGTTCTCCTCTGTTTCAGCTCACTTGCCTTTGCTCCAACAGAACCCCCTTTTTAATAGTTTTAATTCTTCATCATTTATAAATTAAATTATATTGAAAAAGATTATATATATATATATATTAAGTAAAGCTATTTTTATTTTTATTTAGGTAAATTGTTACCATAAAACATATGATTAATTTTAAGACAAAAATGAATATAAATATAAAAATTGCTATAAATAAATAAGTTGCATCCTTAATGCATAAAATATTACAAATAATTTTAATATGCATGTATATGTTAATTATTTAGATAAACAGAGTCATAAATACCAAATAAAATAGAAAAAAAAATTAGAAAAAGCATAAAGCTCATTATAAAAAGAATATGTATGTAATAAAAAAAATATATAAATTGGCTATAAAATGAAATAAATTGTCATATACATACATTGTATTTATATACATATAAATTAAAAAAATATATTTATACCTCTAGCCTCTTCGCACCAAACCACCTTACCTCCACGTTTAGCCTTTTTAAAACCATGATTTGTACTCTTTCTAAACTGAGCCTTTAAGTTTAATTTGTAATGTCAATCTCATCCAAAATGGTGTGCAAATTTTCCAAAAGAGTAAGTGTAGGCCATTAATATGTGGTACTAAATGTGTGTCTGATGACACATGAACTGTTCCTTAATGTCTGCTCCACTTGTTAGAATTATTGAGAGAATAGTTGTGCCAAATAAATGGTTTCTACGTAATGGGATCCATTTCCACACCTTAAAAACCTTTTGAGACGTCAAGTTGGTGAAGTTGATAGAAACTCACACTTACCCAACCAAGAAAACTTGATTCTTGGGAACCCAGGAATTGAGAGGAGAGGACTGGAAGACAGACAAAGAGATAATCTATGTGCTTTCATTAACTGAGATTCACAAAAGTTATACACAATCTGCTTGGACAAACATTTATCTATCAAACTAGTGGGTGGTGTGGGTCCTTGTATATCATATGTAAACAGAATGTATGGTCAACTTAGGGTAAATCATCTCAATATGCGAGTTAATTATCCACCGTCAACTGATATCAGAGATGTGGTTTTCCAGTGGGCCAGCCACTTCTCTTCAGTGGGTTCCACCCCATGAATGAACTTGGTCGCCAGTTTGTGAAGTAAACATGAATCATGAATGACCTACATTCAGTACACTACATTTCCAATACATCATGATAGTGATGGCTTATGACTTTTCCCATCTTGGAATGGCTTCAAAATTAGATCAAATGGTTAGGAATAACCCAAAATTTGGGCTACTTTTAGCCCATTGATTAGAATATAGAGATAAGATTTATTATAAATTATAATATCAAAATAAAGTTATAAAGTTTATTTATTCTGATATACAGAATTATAATATTATAAAATTTTCTAAACCATTGGTTAACATATTAAATGCCATCGACATTCTTTACAACTACTACACACATCATCAATCAATATATAACCGTGAATATCCAATCATAAACAGCTCAGACTTTATGAAAGTTATTTTAGTCGCCAATTCTTTACCAAAGAAAAGATTTAATAGTCAATGGACACTTCAATCCCTGCGTGCACGTATAATTACAGCCGCAGCCCCTGAGCCCTGATACAGCTGCCTCCACGCTGCCAAATTCCTTCCCTTTTTTTTTTCTTTTTATAGGATCTAGTACTTCACAATGCATCGCACTACAAATATCCCCGTAGTGAGTGATACAGGACAGGACCCACCAAATGATTATCACTGCCATCTGATTCGTGAAATTTTGTGTTGTGATAGTTGGGCCCTTCCACCAATTGGGTAGCTGGTGTATATAGGGAAGAGAGATTTCTCCTTTCTCTCGTTGGACGGGCTGACTGCGCACACGGCTCACGTTAGGAGAATCAAATTGGGGATAGGGGATAGAAGCAAAGAAGAACACATGGAGGACGTCGGCACGTGACAGCTTTTTCCAACCAAGTGCAAAATGGTTCTGGGTTTTCTTCTGGCGTGAAAGCGAGGCCCCGATAGCATGAACTTACTCTGGACCCTTTTAACAGATCTCGTTTTTCTTGCTTTTCCACGTTTTCCTTCAAATTATAATAATAACTGGAGCAGTCGTTCTCTCAAAGCATTCCTGAATCCTGAGATCTGAGGCCACTGTAATTAACTAATTATTTGTTTGTTTTCTTTTATTAAGTTGATTATTCTTGCTTTTCTTCTTGTACATGTTTCCGGAGAAATGACTTTTGGGTTTTAAATTTAGGATGAGAAATTGCTTTACTTGATCAGCAAAGGTGCCGCTTTGTTTCTTCTTTAATAAAAAGGTTTGCTTTTTACTCCTTTAAAGGTTTGAACTAATCAAAATTCTAATTTTTGAGAAGAATTTTTTATTGCTTTTACTTTGGAGAGCATTTTGAGCTTGAGCATTTCCTTTTTGAGGTTGGTGGTGGGGCTTTGAAATGCAGATGGCGTGGTCTGGTTTGAAGAAATCAAGAGAGTGCTTTAGTTTATTATTATTTTCAGTGACTTTCGTGGATTTTTTTTTCTTCTAATTGGGGTCTGGCTTTAGATTATTAGGTTTTACAGTTCATATCATGTCACCACTCCGCGTTTCGTGTTGAGCTTCCTTCTTGTTGGTTTTCTGTTGGTGTGGGCGGTGACTGGGATCAGATCTGCACTTGGATTCTTCCGAGAAGACGGTGTAGGCGGTGTGACTTGGCCAAGATCGAGAATTGACGAGGTAATTCTCACTCACTCGTTCTTTGTGTTTATCTCTGAGCTGAATTGATGATTGGGGCGTAGAGATGTTCGACATTTTGTCCTCCGTGCGGTGGATTCTTTGCGGAGCTTACAGTTGCTTGAATTGCAACAGTTTGTTGTTTCTTTTTGTTTCTCTAGGATTATTTCTTCTCATGACCAATTGTATTACGTTGATGCTAATTCCACCATATTAGTATTGGATCAGGTTGGAAATGTTGGACTTATTTGGTAAATACTGGATTTTGTGTTTAATTAGGGGCCAGTGCTTCTCATGCAATGGAGTGTGGGAGTGTGGGACATTGATGATGTTGAGGAAGACAACTAACCTGGAAATGGAAATATATTAAGGATGGATCTTCTTTTCTGGGTTTAAGTTTAATGGAGTTGTTTCGGGATGTCATGATGAGATCACAACATAGTTGGGTTAGTCTTTAAGTCCAAGATTTTGATTTGGAGGCTGTGGAAGTGAGCCGAAGACTTGAATTTGGGTTGGTTGATATGGCGTCGAGAGAGGGGAGGCGTCACCGGCATGATAAGCACGATAGGCGTGATCGGCACGATCTAGTTCCTCTTGCGGCCTTGATCAGCAGAGAATTGAAGAGCGAGAAGATGGAGAAGCCGAGTGTGAGATATGGTCACGCTGCTCAGTCTAGGAAAGGGGAAGACTATTTCCTGGTGAAGACAGACTGTCAGAGGATTCCAGGGAATTCGTCGTCTACGTTTTCTGTATTTGCAGTATGTAACCAGTAACCACCGACTTTTGCAGTCTTTTTTCTACTGATTTTTTCATCATAATGCAAATTTGTTATGTTTTTTATTTTTATATGAATACAAACCAATGGAAATTAAAACAGTGATTCATTGGTCATATATTGATAAATTTCTCAGTTCATAGATGTTCAAGCTATTATATAATCATTTTCCAACATTAAGACGCTAAACTATTTCTTTTGATGAAATTTTCTTCTACTTTTGTTGTTCTGTTTATGTGATGGCCCGTGGTTCATTATTTGATGAACTAATTTTCAGATCTTTGATGGGCACAATGGAAATGCTGCGGCAATTTTTACAAGGGAGAACTTGTTAAATCATGTTTTGGGTGCAATACCTCGTGGTCTTGGGCAAGAAGAGTGGCTTCATGCCTTGCCCCGGGCATTAGTTGCTGGGTTTGTGAAGACTGACAAGGAATTCCAGAGCAGAGGTATGGGGTTAACTCCTATCTGCTTTGTATTTTATCAGTGTTATCTTCTGAAGATGTACTGATCCCAACTTTCATCATCGTATTGATGGCAGGGGAAACTTCTGGAACAACTGCTACATTTGTAATAGTTGATGGCTGGACTGTTACAGTTGCATCAGTTGGGGATTCACGTTGCATCTTAGATGCTCAGGGTGGTTCTGTTTCTATCTTGACTGTCGATCATCGGCTTGAAGAGAATTTAGAAGAGTATGTGGTTTATTTCTTTTTTCTTCATTTTATTTTGTTTCTTGGAACCTCTTGTTTGTTCAATTTGTTTTTACTAATGTTAGAATACATTTAAATTGTGTATACTGTAACTGCAGGAGAGAACGAGTGACTGCAAGTGGAGGTGAAGTTGGGAGACTAAGCATTGTTGGTGGTGTTGAGGTAAGTTATTTTTAGTTGCTATTCATATATTAAAATGTCAGTAGAAAAGTCTGCTTAGTTTCTGTATAAAAACACATAACTCAAGATTTTGTCTATAATTTTAATTAAGTATGATGGTCAGCTTCTTAAATTTTAATGTACAGGTTGGTCCCCTTCGTTGTTGGCCTGGGGGTTTATGCCTTTCAAGGTCCATTGGAGATATGGATGTTGGGGAATTTATAGTTCCCATACCATATGTTAAACAAGTGAAGGTATAGATCATCTTGGTGAGACTGTACTTTTGAACTTCCATTCCCTTTTGGGCATCTTTTTTGCCAATTGCTATTTCTAGTTTCTTATTGATTATGATCAACATTTCGATGCTGTTTATCCATCATCTCCATCATCCTTCTGAACTTGTAGCATTCTTCTTTGGTGTACCAGTTGTCAAAAGCAGGGGGAAGGCTAATAATTGCTTCTGATGGCATCTGGGATGCACTATCTTCTGAGATGGCCGCAAAGTCTTGTCGTGGGTTGCCTGCAGAGCTTGCTGCTAGGCAAGTGGTGAAGGTAATTTAAACTCACCCAGCGCCAGTTTCTCATCAGTGTTCATGTACTTATTTAACTAATCGTTCAGATTGAAAAAAAGGAGACAGGAAGGGGAAAAACTTTTTTATTTTTTCTTTGTGTGTGTGTGTGTGTGTGTGTGCACAACTAAGCTAACTCCCCAAGGGGTGTCATGTTCTTATTGTATTTTATGGTTCTATCGCTCAGGAAGCATTGAGAACAAGAGGGCTGAAAGATGACACAACTTGCATTGTTGTTGACATAATTCCTCCAGATAATCCTGTTGTACATGTAGACCCTCCCAAAAAGCAGAATAAGCTTAGAGCTCTTATATTCAGGAAGAGGTCCTGTGATTCTGCAAATAAACTGGCAAAAAGTCTGTCAACTGTAGGTATAGTGGAAGAACTATTTGAAGAAGGGTCAGCAATGCTTGCAGAAAGGTTAGCATTTTTTCTATCTTCTGTTTAGTTGATTTTAGCTATAATAAAAGTATTGACTTTTTAGATTGGTTAATAGAAGTATAAATTTGACGTGATTTTTTTTCCTTTTAGCTAAAGGTGTACAATCCATTCTGAATTTAATCAATTATAATTATCCTTGAACACTAAAAACATGTATTTGTGATAAAAGCTGGATTCTTGTTTTGATCAGCCACAATTAATTTTTTTATATAATTATATATTGTAAAAATGAGGTATAACTATCATGTTCCAAGCACCCCTTGAGGGCAGCTAGCCTTTTCTAGCCTAGCCACCACTAAGAATTTACAGACTCCATCCTTGGAGAATTAATCCTCAATACTTCTAAATTCTATTAACCCCTGCCTCAGTGAGGCTACTGGCATAACATGGTGTTCACTTGTAGCTAGTGCCCAGCTCCAATTCACATTTATTAGTCTCCCTTAAAGTGTGTCCAAGTTTCCATGATCCCGCATGGCCGCTTTGTTGTTTCTAATCTGGCCAATGATCACATGTGAGTCTCCTTCAGTCTATAGTCTCTGGAATTTAAGGATTTTTCCATCATCATCTAAGCCTTGTCCACTATGTGGGGTTGGCTACATGACTTCTGTTCAGTGTATTGTTCATAATTCTGCCTTCGTAGAGTCCTCAATGCCAACAGGTCCAGAATAGAGTCTCCGTGGAAAAGAAAAGGAATTATTATATTGTAAAAGGTGCAAATGCATCCAATGTTTTTACTCAGTGCACTACCTTGGCTTCTTTGCTTCTTGATTTCTCTCTAAATATTCTTGCTTCCAGTTTTCTCTTCCTAGATGAAAATTAGACTCTTCATAGATGTATTTAACCTTGTTGCAAATCCAGCTTGGTCAGTTTGTATTAGAATAATATGCATGATGTATCTGAGGTTCTAAATATACCTGGAATGTCTGTATAAAGCTGGAGAGATTGCTGCAAGATTTTCATGTTTTCTGTTCTAAACTATTTACTTCCTGACCTGAGTATTTTATGTAGATAGTTGGTAATTACCTTTCTAGGTTCCAAATTACATGTATATTCAAGCTTATGTAATTCAAATCTAATGACCAACTTCCCATTTGATTAAACATTTAAGCACTGTTCTCTACTAGTATTGCTAGTGGCAAATGTCATTGCAGTTTTGCTCAGTTTAAGTTGACTGCAATTACTAGAAACTTTTGTTTTTCTAATTTACACCTAGATTTCATACAAAAACCTGCATCAAGTTTAGAGAATACCAGGAGTTTACATTCTGGATTTTCTGAATACTATTAAAATGCCCATATGAACATTTTCTCAATACCCGGAGTTGACATTTTAGATTTTCACCAGCATTTCATTCAGACATTTTTTTTCTTTCTATTATTTATTTCATTTCTTTCTTTTGTGTTTTTTGATGCTTTTTATTTTGGTGAACAGTCACTCAAACCTATCATGTTTTTGGAAATATATGGACTAGGGAGAGGCTAGATACAAAATTTAAACCTGAATGAACTATATTCAATTACAACCCTGAATAAGAAGGAAATTAGAAAGGAAATAAATCTCTATAAAAGGTAAAGCTCTACCTCAGAAAGGCAAAATTTAGGTACAGCAGAATGGAAGAATAAAATTCATGCTGCTGAACCCCGCTGAGATAAGGAATCCAGAATTCCAGACAACAATTAGATTATGCCTTATAAGAGCTATAAATCTAGATCAARTGCTTATTGAGAGGGTGTTCAACATCTAGGTCAGCTTTCAGTATTTTACTTCTAATAAAACAGGCCCACACATTCTTCAAAAACAGTGTTTTTTTAAGGAAAGAAAGATTTGGGAGAAACTAGGGCCATTTGGTAACTTGAATATTTTGCATAATAGTAGCTTTTTGTGAGGGAAAACTCTTTTCAATTTTTGAAAGATATCTTTATCATCTATGAGAAACTCCTCCAATGTGATCTTGTTTAACACTGCTTGTTCCAAGCCTCAAAGGAGGGGGGTTGTGTCAGCCTGTCAGGTTGACAGCTGGCATACAAAACTTTTGTCAAACTCTAATGATCATGGATCATGAATTGTATTTTTGCGCTCATGATGATGATCTTTATCATCTCTTAGAAACCAGGGGTGGGAGTTTCTGTTCCTTCCCAAACGTCAGTTGGCGGATTTCCCCATTTTTATTGATTTTTTCTTTTGCTACAATATTTTTGTTGGTTTGGTGTGAATGAAAAACAAGGAAAATGAAATCAAACTAGTTTTCAAACACCTCATAAATATAGGTGATATCTTTTCCAAAAGGCCAGCATTGTGTGTTAGCTGTTGCCTAAACTAAACTGTAAAGCCTAAACTGAATCTTCTATTGCACAGTTTTACCTAGAAATCCTATTGCCAAGGTGCCTAAATATTCACTTTTGTCACACTAATATTAGAAATTGGAGAGAACTGGTCCTAAATTTCTCAATTTAGAGCCTAAACTTTGAAATGTGCCACTTTAGTACCTTAACATCCAGAAATATACTTTCAAGTCCAACTCCATTAAATTAACATAACGGTTAGGGTAAATTTATGAAAATGCCTATGTTTTGACTCATTTTTTTACTGTCCATCTTTCTTCTACCTTTGTATTTTGGATGCAAACTGGTGGTGGAAAAGACTCTGAAAGTGAGACTACCCCTATGAATGGACTGGGGTGAGCTTATTTTGCTACTGCTGGTTTGCGTCCAAAGTCCAAGGTAGAAGAAAACAAATAGTGAAAAAAGAGAATCAAAACATGTGCACTTTTGTAATTTTAACCCTTCACCATAACGTTAATTTAATGGAGTAAGACTTAAATGTATATTTCCAAGAGTTCAGGTACTAAAGTGGCAGATTTTAATAGGGACATTGAGGTGAAGTACAGCTGGGTGAAAAGAAATGGCAACTCATTTGCCGAAGGGTTAGCTAAGCAAGGGCTGAATAGGGTGTCTGTTTTGGGCTAATTTCTAATTTCTCTCTCTTTGTAATTTGTTGGTGGGGAGTTAAGTCATTTTACCTTCCCTATATCTTATAATTGCTTCCTTCTATATTAACAAAGCTGATTGTTATTGATCAAGAAAAAAAAAAGTGGCACATTTAAAAGATCAGGCCTTAAAGTGTGACTTCCCCCAAAGTAGAAGCTACCTATATGCAATTTTCCCTAAAATTTAATGCAAGTAGACATTTATCAATTCCCGATTAGAAAACGTTATTTCAAGCACCCTTGACTGGTTTGCCATTCGTTGCTCTTAAACTTCATCTTTGCTCTGAATAAACTTGTTCACAGTTCAGGCTTCAGGCTCAGGTTTTGGGACGGGCTCATTAAAATTTGAGCAAAAGCGAAGTCTGAGCCCGGCCCTGAACAGGTCTAGTCCTGAGCTTGATATCTGGTTTGCCATTCATTATTTATTTATTATCATTTACTCTTTCACCTATTTCCTATTAGTTATATGATGTTAATGTTTCTGTACTTTTTGTTTTGATAATGGAATGCAGACTGGGCAGTGAGTCATCCATGGGTCAGTCAACATCTGGTCTTTTCACATGTGCTGTTTGCCAAGTAGACCTTGCCCCTAGCGAGGGGATCTCAGTTCATGCTGGTTCTATCTTTTCCACCAGCACAAAACCCTGGCAAGGTCCTTTCCTTTGTGCTGATTGCCGTAATAAGAAGGATGCAATGGAGGGAAAGCGCCCTAGTGGAGTCAAAGTGGTTTAATTGTCCACTTTTCTTTTGTCATATTCTTTTTCTCTCATTCCAATTTATTAGGCCTTTTTTCTTGGCCCGGCAATTGTTTTGAATCTCCTAAAATGATGATGCATCCTTTGTATATGTAATAGTATAAATCAGCTGTGGCATATGAAGAAGAGTAAATTTGTTATTCTTTCCCTTAAATGGCCGAAATATCAATTTAACTTCTAATGGTTCTTTAGTTTTGACTTTCAACATTGTGACGATGGATGAAATTAAAATTCTTTTGGAGGCGGCTTTGTCCTGCTCAGCTTTCATTCCCCGGAAAACTAGAAAAAGCTAGCAAATACTATAAGAACGTTGCTCCATAGTAAGTCACCCTTGTCTCATGCGATCTATTGTTGGCCTGAAAGATCAAAGCCCCAAATATCCCTACCCCCAAATTACCTGTTAGCCATATATTAACATACTGAGTACTACTTTCTTTCAGAAACTGTATGTGATTTTAGTTTTTGGTTGGAAACAGCTGAGGCTATTTAGGTGGGAGTTAAATATCCATTAAATACAACCTGAATTTTCGAATTACTAAAAAATCCAAGTGAACAGAGCATAATGATAATTCTCCCGGAATCCTTTGCTTTAAATTGCCACCCAATTTTGAGAGTTGATCTTTCTGGTCAATGGGGAAGGTGAGAGGAAACAACCGACTCTTGGAAAGCATTGAGGTCCTGGCCACTGCGGGGCAGCTCATCAGTTGAGGTTTTGAATTGATTGGCTTTAATTGCCAATTGACTTCTTCTTACTCCAGTAACTCTACTTTGAGAAATGAAGGAGCTGGTTGAATCTTTTGTCGTAAATTTATGATCAATAGCCCATGCATTAATCATAATAACATATCAAGATTGTTGGCATGACTCCATTTCGCAATCAGTCTGGACACTTGACTGAATCTTCGATCTACAGTCCTCACTCTTTATTGTGATGGGTCTTTGTACGGTTAGTATCAACTATCAAGGTTTTAAAAACTGGATCGGACATAAAACCGTTTTGGCCATTGGTTTTTGGGTCAAATGGTCCAATCATCAGGTTCAAATGAATGATTTGTTCTGATTTAAAAAATAAAAAAAAAATAATAAAAATAAAAAATGGCTAAAAACCATTATTCAAGTCGTGTATCAACAGTTCGATTGATCAAGTCAGTGGATTGCTGATTAATTTAACGCTTTTCTGCCCAAAACGATTTTAGAGTGAAATATAACCAATTGTCTGACAGATTCCTGAGTCAACCAATCTGACGATCGGGTTGGGTCCAGTTTTCAAAACCATGGCTAGTATAGCTCCTTTTTGCAAGGCGATGGCTGACAATTCAACAGCACTGTGCCCCTGGTCTTCGGTCTATACTTGATAGTTTATTCTCCCCCTCAGAACCTCTATTCTTCGAAAATTGCATGTAATATAATAGAGAAGAGGGAATATATGGCTGCGTTGGATCGCCCTTCATGCAGTAGTCAGAACTCGGATCCCTCATAATAAAATATAAGTGAAATTAAACTCTCGTTTGTTTATTTGTGTGAGATGGACACCTATGGCTTTGCTGTTGTTTTCTCCTTCCTCTTCTTCTGTTATTCCACTTGGGGCTTGATTGAGCTGAAGACGACTTGGAGCAGTGTCTTCCATTCCACTGTGGGAACCTCAACGACATCCATTATCCCTTGTCCAACGCAACTCACCCAGAATGCGGACTGAGCACCATATATAGAATGTCAAGATGGCAGACCCATGATCCTATTCAACAAAGAAGGAAGATTTTATGAACTTCAATCCAATTTTGGTCATACTAATACAATATTCCTCACTCCTTCACGGCTTGGAATTGGCTCGTGTAATGACATACAGAAGTCGCGTCACCCACTTTCAATCTATTTTCTTTAGGCCTCGTTCGTTTTTTGGGTAAGTTATTTATTTGGGTAAATGCACTTATTCAGATAAGTGTTTTTCAGGAAAAATTTACCCGGATAAATGCATTTACCCATGTTCTTTTATTTTCCATGCAAACAAGACATTGACCATTTTACCCATAAAAATCCATATTATAAGGGGTAATTTTGTCCCATTCAAGTGTTGGCAACTTTCCCCAAGGTGGAAAAGTTATTTACCTACCTAAGAGATGGGTATCACTTACCCAAGCAAGTGATACCTAGGGAAATAAACTTTCCCTGGTCATGCCCGATAAGATGTCAGATGACAACTCTCTAGTTTCTTTTTTTTGGGGTTTTTACTTTTCAATCCACCTCCATAAATCCTAACTCCATCATACAGTTTGGGTAGGTGCCAGCTCAGAATGTTTTGGTTAATTAACAATATTTTTCCCCTTTACCCCCCTTTTCTTTTTTTCAAAGTGCTAGTTGCGAGATTTGATTCTGCATCAATGCTGAGCCAACCCAGCTAACACACCAACGAGCCAGCCCTTGATTGGTTAGGTGCCAGCTCAGAATTGATGCCAATATAGGTGAGTATTGGTGTTTAGGTGAAAGTGTTTAAAATTTTGAATTATTGTAATTTACAGTGAAATTCAGAATTCTGAGGTGGGATACAGTCTATTTATCCCTTCTTCTTTTTATCAGTAATCACTATTCAGTACCCTCATTGCCGAGAACATGATCTATTCTTAATTAACAGGCCCAGAACATGATCTATTCTAGTATTCTTAATTAACAAACCGGAACCTAGCCTATACCATCTATTCGAGATAGATGTTCTATCTATCAAATTCCGGTGCATGAACCACTCGGTGACCACTTATTGCCTCGCTTGGATTCCGGTTTTTGTCTTCAATGGGATTTGCTGCGCAATGCCACAATTGTGGTAGGAAAGCACAACATTGTCTTAGGGCTGCTGCGCTTATTTGTGGTGTAAATACGGATGGATGTAATTAAACATTTCAGTCCGCATTTGGATGGAGTGTAATTAAACATTCCAAAATTGATGAAAACAATATAAATATTTACATCGATAATCATACTTGCTAGTTTATAATGGTCCATAACTTTAAACTGATCTATATAATTTTACTTTTATACCGTATTCAAATGCAGCCTAAACAACAAAATGAAATTTGTCATGTTCAACTCCAACTCCACGTACAAAACACAACTTGAGATTTTGGGAACAAAGTTAAACTTTTGTCATCGTTTTCATTTTTGCTTTCTACAAGAATACGTTTTTCTTCATCCATTCCGGATGATCGGATCTTAATTATTATTTTATTACATATGTAGACCGCCTACGTCAGATACTTATTGCAGAGATATTTGTAATGCAAAATTGCAAATATAGTTATGTTCTGGGGGTGGACTGAACTGTAGTAAAACCCCCCTTCTTTTATAAATATCCGTTTGTCATATTTGGATTTTATCGACTCTTGAACGTTTTGATTATGCTGGGTATTTGTACAGTTGGTATGGTCCTCGTTTCGCAAGGCGATGGCTCAAAATTCAACTGCACTCTCCCTCTTGCCTCTGGTCTTTAGGCAGAGTCAAGCCAAACCTAAAGAGACCCACCTCCCCCCTCCCTCTTCTCAATCAATTCATCTGTAATTCCCTTCAGACCTTCATGAGCTTTCCCTCTCCTCATCCTTGGGAGTCGGGATCTAACGTTCCCCATTCAGAGTCTCCTTGCTTCTCTAGATATAACGGTATGTTTTCCTTTTTCTTATTCTTGTTCTTCTCGGTCTTATCGGTAGAAAGGGTTCTTTGCGTTGACCCACGATTCGGAACTTGCAAGCCTCAAATCTGCGGGAACCAGAACATAAGCTATCCATTCTGGATCAATGACACTAAGATACTACCTGATTACTGCGGCTACCCAGGCTTTGAGATTTCCTGCAAGAGCGACAAGCCTATGCTCAAGATCTCTGGGAATGATTATATGATTCAAGAAATCAACAACCAAACCCAATCTGTTAGGGTCACGTACCAAGGGGCTGCAGATGATTATTGTCCATCTCCACTTTATAACGTTAGCCTGGATCGAACTCCCTTCGGATTTGACTACGACCATGCTTATCTCTTCATCTTCTTCAATTGTAGCTCTCTTCTGGATGATGCATACTCACGCTACAGGATAAATTGTACACCCCATGATTACACCTTCTCTCCTTTGACCTTATTTGAGGGGGATCCGGAGTTAAACTCTTCTTACTTGTTCCAAGAATGCGACAAGTCGGTATTGGCACCGGTTGAGAAGGAAATTGGGGATGAAATATTTCAGGGTAAGATGTACCAGGAGATTTTAAATAAGGGGTTTTTGTTGAGATGGAATGCTGCCAACTGTAGTGATTGCTTAGAAAGCGGGGGGCAATGTGGATTTGACTGGAAAGCATACAAGTTCACTTGTCTCTGCCGCGATCGCCCTCGAATGATGAGTTGCCGAGATGGTAAGCCTCTGATCTCTTTCGTTTTGCTAGGTAGACAGACTCTTACATCTATTGCGAGTTCACCTTTTGCTTTCGTCACTCCCTTCGGAGTTCGGAGTAGTAGTTCTACACGTCAATACACTTCTAGGACATGTGTCAAATAGAGGAGCGGCAGTGCCAATATATGAGATGGCAATAGCAAATTAGCAATGCCTTTCCTCACTCGTTCTATTTTATATTCGTTATGATTTTTATTGCTTCTCATTCTTTTCCCCATTTGATCGCTAACTAAAATGGTTTTTGATGATGCGCAATCTGGTCGGTCTTAGTTGTTAATGACCTTGCCTCTGAATCGAGTAGCGGGGACCTGAAATGGAGGAGATGAAGAAGCTCCGGGGAGAACCCGGTGTAAAGGCTCCGAAGCTTAAGTTAGAATCTTTCAAAGGCAAGATAAACCAGATAGCGCAAAGTTTGCATACCTCATCTTTGGGGGTGGAGAGCCTTTTATAACCACCTCGTGCACTCACTCCTAGATTCCTGTCAGGTCGGGAATGATTATTTCCGTGCTTCTGCCAGTTCGGGCGTCATCGCCTCTGCTGGGGCAGAACCGTCACTGTCATAAGGCGGGCTAGTTCGGGCCCCTGCTTTGTGCGACGGGGTTAAAAGGGAGAGTTCGGGCTCCTTGTAGGGAGTCCGATCACTAAGTAGGGAGTTCGGGTCTCTTGCTAGGGAGTTCGAACTCTAGGTAGGGAGCTCGATCACTAAGTAGGGAGTTCGGGCCTCTTGCTAGGGAGTTCGAACTCTAGGTAGGGAG